GAGAGAGAGAGAGAGAGAGAGAGAGAGAGAGAGAGAGAGAGAGAGAGAGAGAATTATTATTATTATTAAACATTCATTTGACTATAACTGATTATTACATCCTTTCTCTGTAAAGTATTCTAAATTTAAAATAAATTCATATTATGGCATTTCATTACATCATCCTGAAATCATCCGGTAGTATTAAATCTTTATATTCTATTCTTTATAGAGTTATTTATCTTTTAGAAAAAAGCTTTTCAGCATTCTCTCCATAGTCCTCACTTACAATTTGTGTAAAAATTCAGATTATCTAGTGTAATATATATGCATTATCATTATTCATCATTTATTTGACTATAACTATTATTACCTTTTTTTTTACACACAATACTCTAAATTTAACTAAGTTTAACTTAATTTTTATTATAACATTTCATTTCATCATCGAGTCTTTACAAGATATGCCATGAACAAGAAGATGCCAAAAGAATCTCTGAATAAGATTCATCAAGAAAACAATTAGAATACAAATACTACAAAAGGCAAGAGATGTAGGATTGCACTACTACTGGAAGGACACAGGATGATGAAATAATAACCGTGTTCCTGACGTATCAAATGCAGCGATTCGTTTAACAACTGTCATTCACGACGGGGCAAAATTAACTTAACTATTGTCTCCCTTAACCCCAGAAATTTTGGGTTCTGTTGTGCTCGTAGGTCAAGAATTACACTATCTTCCCCACGATGTCAATTTTCGAGGCTTAATCAGCCATGTGCCAATGCTCGATTTTCTGTATCTTTCAGCTCCGGGCCTATTGCCCAAGCCTAGCATGTCCATCATCCAGCTTTTCCGAGAGAGTATAGATTCAGTGCATCTCAAATGCGACACGACTGTGAGATTTGCAAATATCAGCTGGCTGCAGAATGGGAAACCCCTCAACTCCTGCCGTCGGATCCAGCTGTCCAATAATAACCAGACCCTCACCATACAGCCGGTTCTCCGTCGTGACACCGGCGCATATCAGTGTCATATTTCCAACCCCTTGTCCACTCAGAGGAGCGACACCACCACCATTTCTGTGATCTGTGAGTATTCACTTCGCATAATGGTGGGTGTGTAGGGATGCAAAAAAGCTATTGGGTTAAAATACAGACACGGTTAGAGAAAAATGATACATAAACCCATGGAGTTTAAGCCAGAGATATTTTTATNGTGGGTTTCAAAAAAATTTGGAACCTCTTCTGTAGGTGTGGCCTACTTTCCGGGTCCACTGGTGGAACCTCTTCTAACCGGTTCGGTAGATTTGATGAACCTCTGGATAAGTTGATTATAATGTCATTGTAGCTAGTCCTTGGCTTATGACCGTAATGGAACCAGAAAAGCAGCCAAATCTTTTCTAATCTGCGACTAGAAAAAAATATATCAGAGTATTTCCTTCATCCACAATTGGTCATCACACCTGCATCTTCGACAAAGGAATGGCAACTGACACATTCACATTTATTTGTTGGTCTTGGAATGAGACCAAGTATGACACCAAGTACAGGTTGCTCTTGAGTTATGATTGTATTGGAGCCAGCTCACTCTGGTCATAAGTTGGGACAGTCATAAATTAGATCATCCCTATAACCAGCCCAATTTTACAAGCGCCACCGTTGTTAAGTAAATCAGTGGAAACTATTCAGGGAGTTACTAAATTAGTAAAGACTCCTTCGAGTCCGTTCTTGACTCCCAAGGACACATCAGAGGAGTTTTCATAGCAACAATTTGGAAGAAAGTTCCCTTTTGTCTTCTTGGGCGTATCACTAGGCTGAATTACTAGAGGTAGTCCTCATCTTATGGCCGCAGGGACCAGAATCTCTGTTGCTGAACGAGATGGGGGCTAATGGAATTGCACCTGATTTGAATGACCCTATTATTGGCCGCAGATCGGAAGCAAATCTGAAGCAAATCACGGCAGTTGTTAACTGGACCATGCCGTCGTTAAATGAATCTGGCTCCCCCCATCCTCATGACCTTTGCTTGTCCGTGCCAGCTGGGGAAGTCACAAATGTTGATTATATGACGCTTCAATCGTCACAAATATACGCCCGTTGCCAAGCACCCGAATTTTGTTCACAAAACTGTAAGGCTTCTATGACAATCGTAAACACCTGAGTCACCTTTTTATGAGTGACATTGTCACCTTGTATAGTCACTAAACTAATAGTTGTCCATGGCAGATTCCTGCAATAGAAAATTTCCCCCCTTTTTGGGGGCCGCTGAATCTCTCTGGCTCTTTTTCTGGATGAGCAAAAGGGGTCCTTCGATTATGTTTCCCAGGTGGAATCATGGCTTGTATTTGGGGCTCTTCCCGAAGCCTGCGTGAGAACATTTTCGCTTATCCTGTTAATTGTTGGTTCTCGCTAAGGCTAAACTCAATTAATTAACGAACAAATGGAACCTTTGGTGGTGTGGCCACCTCACACGAATGTCTTCCGCTGGTTCGATTCAATTCATGATGGAGAAAGGAACACGATTTCAGGAAATAGCTTTGAGGTCCATTGTCCTTTCCTCATTCATTGCTGTGAGAACATTTTTTTCCCTTTTGTGCCCGAATGTTGGGTGTGATCAAACGCCCATCGCACCTGCCAGGAACTAATGCCAACTCTAGAAAGGTCATCCTGAGAAGGTTTCCAACACAGCAGCATTCATGGGTCCTCAGAACAAGGGGGTCCGTAGGAAGGAGGATACCCCCCAAATAAAGATGCTCTCATAATCCCCGTAATGAAAGTCCCAAAAGTGGTTTTTCAAGAGGCAACTTGGGTGGGTTTCTTTCCGCCCCTTGAAGTCATTTTGCTTCTCATCTAAAAAGCTTCGTCGGTTCTGAACGAAGGAATGGTGGTGGAAGGAAGGACTGCAAGGAAGACAAATTCTTCCCTTCTCCATCATTCAGTCAGAGCTGAAGAAGCTTCTTGGATGAGAAGCGAAACCTCTTCAAGGAAAAAAACCAAGGAAGTCGAGTTGCCTCTTGGAAAAAGCATCTTTGGGACAACCATGACCTGGATGACGGATGTCCCTTACATCTGGATTAATGTTTTTGTCTCTTGCCTGTAAGCCTGCTTTTCATATCAAATGAAGATAGGATGTTGAGACTCTGGGAAGAGCCACAAAGAGGATTAGGGGACTGGAGAATAAAACATATGAGGAAAGGTTGTAGGAACTGGGTATGTCTAGTTTCATGAAAAGAAGGACTAGGGGAGACATGATAGCAGTCTTCCAATATCTCAGGGGCTGCCACAAAGAAGAGGGAGTCAAACTCTTTTCCAAGGCACCTGAGGGTAGAACAAGAAGCAATGGGTAGAAACTAAAGGAAAGAAGCAAGCTAGAACTAAGGAGAAAT